TGCTTATAAAAGTGTTGCTCTGCATTGTGCAATCAGTTTAGGTGATCTCTTTGTTTCGCACAATCTCAGATATTAAGATTGTTATACAATTAAATGAGATGTTAAATTGGTTTGTAAGTTGATTTAGATATGTGTAAAACAGTCAGTCTCAGTTGGTGTTTTGAGTAAATTAAATGAACTGTTCAGTTATTTATTAAAAAGTGAGCATTTCATCATCCCAACCTACTTTCAGTGCAATTTACACTCAAAATGAATGACGTAAACTAAAATTGAAGACATGTATTCCCAGGTTTCAGTCTTCCGCTGAGGAAATGAATGAAATTCCTTTTTATCTCGCTAAGGATATTTTTGTACTAAATTCTAAATTCATATTGGGAAGGTATTTTACTCATTTCCTCTTTCATAACATACAGATGATTAGAACCTCTAAAAATATTTCAGAGCCAGTGCAGTTTGTTGTTGCAGGACAGAATTAAAATCTGCTGAACCTGTTCTGCAAGAAAATACTGCACCTTCCTAAAGTATCCATGCTCCCTGCATGGTTTGTCGTTGTTACCTTATCACTTTATTGAAATTTTATGCAGGAGATCCACACAAAGGGGCAGATAATTGTAAAGTGGAAGAATAAGTAAGAGTATTTTGCAAATATTTTTCCAAGCAATAATAAGTGTGGTTTGTGTTTGTTTTCAGTCCCTGCAAAGCAATAAGATGGGAGAACCGTGTTCTTCTTAAATTACAGCTCCATATCTTTTTTGTCCAAACCAGTTTTACACATGCAAAGACATTTTTGCTAATTTTTCTTTGTGAAATATGAATTTGATAAAGATCAGTCATATTAGTTGATGAGCTGTAAGGTCTCGCTACAGATTCTTTACTGGATTTAGGCCTGAACTTTGACTGGACCATATGGATTCATTTTACATAACATCACAGCGCTGACTGTTTGTTTCAGGCTGTTGTTCTGATGTAAAACTCTGCTCTATAGTTCGTCTGTTGCCGCCTGTAACAAGTTTTTTTTTACCACAATTGAGCTAAATTTAGCTCCAACTAATTCTGATCCACTTTCCTTTCTCTGCTGCATGATGCTGCCACCACCATGCTTCACTGTGGGAATGACGCACGTAGTTAGAGCTCTGTCTCTTCTGACCAGGTAACTTTCTTCCACTTTGTTTTTGCTCCTGCATGTGACAAAACGTCTCCCTCTCTTTATGTCTCTTATAAAGGCCAGACCTGAGAGATGAATCTTTTTCCTTCCACTTCATAATTATGTTCTACTTTGTGTTGGTCTGTTTGTGATTGATGACAGAATGTGAAAAACTCACATTTGTAACTGGAGAGCGCTGTCCTTCCCTTTCTCTTACATTGAAGTTCACTTTTAAAATCCTATCCACCTCATGCCCTTTAAACTTGAATGTGACCTTCTTTTCCCCCCCTCTTTATGCATTTTTTGGGTAGAAATCAGCTCCAAACTGGGTCTCAGTTCAGAAAGAAGTGGTAGAAGCTGGAATATTCGGTTACGGATGCATTTCCATTCGATTGTCCTAAAGGAGGGCGAGTAGAAGTAAGCGATATGAGTTGAGGGGATCATATTAATGTAACTAACACACACCATAATCCCACAGGACTTCCTTCCCATTCTCATTAGAAGACACACCCAGGATGACAGGTAACACGAGAGCACCTTTCACAGGGTCAGATTGGAAGAGGTGGGAAAAACAGGTGAGGTTACTCTCTGATTATATTCTGCCCAATATCTCTAGTTTCTTTGATTTGTTGGCGTCTTATTTCAGTTATTCTTTCTCTTTCACTTTAACACACACACACACACACAAATTATTCCACGTGAAAGATTCATTTCGAATGCAGGAAGTGCCTGAAACACGCCACATAAGCCACTGTTTTTTTTCCCCCCCCCCGTATCAGTATTTACCCGAGTTTCTGGAGTCTCGGAGGGACAGAAATATGCTCTGATGTAATGCGCGAGATAGGGATCTTTTGTGGCTGTGTTATGAATCGCAGCATAATATGAGCGAGTGCGCGGAGAGCCGCGTTGAAGCTGGGGCTGGCGTGGAGAGGAGGGGTGGGTGGATCAAGCAGTGTCACAGGAATCCACAGTGTTGTGAGAGCTCCATACCTTTCAGCTTCATTAAACCAATTTCACGCCGAGGTGAGCTAAGAGAGGAAGCTCTGAATCTCAGCTCCGGCAACAATGGTGCATTGAAGGGATGAGGCGAAAGTAAATTAGGTACCACTTCACAGATGGCAAATTAAAATCTGAAAGTTGGATAGGAAAAGTTGAGGGTAGATGATTATGTCTTTATTGTGGTTTCTCTCCTCAATCTAGAAAGCCCTCCTTTCCTTTTAGCAACCACCTTTGCCCCCACCCCACACACCCCACAACCCTCTGAGAAAAAATAATGATCTATTTCTTGTCTGGTAATTGGTTTCTAAGATGCTCCCACTCAAAGCCTGGATCTTAAATACCAAGCTGCTCATGACCCTCCTTTCAGCCACTTAATTTGCTTTAGCTTATCAGTAAGATTTCATATCCTGGAGAATCATATAAATTAAACATTAATGTCAGGCTTATTTCAGTGCGATCATTGACCTCCACTATGCATTGACCCACTTTATCGGATTTGGTGCTCAGTATTTGTAAAGGCTTTAATGCAAAACTGTGACCTAATCATAATTGGTTATATGTTATCGTAAATTGTTTTTATGAATTTTTCAACTGAATTTTGAGCATTTGCGAAAAAGAAAAAATGCTGAGTAATTCAGGGCTCAAAGTAATCGCACACAAATGTTCCAGCAAGAAAATCTAAAGAGCGGGAAACAAAAGAAATAGTAATTAGAGTTTCCTTTCCAAACTGTTATCGCTGCTTTATTTTATTCACCTGATTTGTCTAGTTAGGTCTGGACTTTGAAAAGCATTTATTTGATCTCTACAAACTCTTGGCTGAAAAATATTCCAGGCAAATTTAAATTTGGGGGACTGCCACTATTTTCAAATTTTAATTTGAAAATTGCTTTTTCAAATAGGAAAAAGCTATTTGAATCCAGTTCTGGAGGCTTTCTGATTGGAGTTTGCATGCTCTCCCTGTGCATGTGTGGGTTCTCACCTGGTACTCCAGCTTCCTCGATGAGTAGGGCTGCTCCTCAATTACTCCTCCAGTAGTAAAGCTACTAAATGTTAATAAATACTGACAATTCAAACATAAACTAGTCAGAACCTTTAACCACCTATCCTGATCATCATATAAAATAAACATAATTACTAGACACAGAAAAAAAGAAAAACAAATCAGGAAAAAATATCAGGACAATATTTGTGCTTGTGTATAATTTTCAAGTGCCTGAATGTTAAACATTCATCTGTCTGTGTTTGCTATAATTATGAGCAGAAATTAAATATCAAGTCATCATGCTATTCCAGAAGGAGACAAAGACTTCAGGTGCAGAGAAACTGGTGCATGCTTTTATTTTCAGTAGGTTGAATTATTGTAACAAATTCCTCACTGGTCTCATCCAAAACTGAGCTGCTAGAGTCCTGAACAACACCAGGACAAGAGAGCATATCACACAAGTTCTCGGATCAGCTATTGGTCAGTTTACTTTGTATTTTGAACCAGGAAATATGGAGGAAAAGCAAAATAAGAAGCTATGCAGGAACGTTAAACCAACTTAGACAAACATTGGATAGCATGCAAACAGAAACATTACTACAGAAGCCAAATCTCAACAAGTTGATCAGGCTTCCTGTTAACTTTCTCCGAGTCTTGGCTGACAACTTCGGGGGGGGAGGAGTAGTCATGGAGTGCAGGTCAACCAATCAGAGTCTAGAGAATGTACAAGTTATGCCACATTACACACAGCTTGAGAAAAGTATTTATTTTTTATCACATTCTTCAGTCTAGAAAGAACTGAGAATGTAAATAAACTCATTAAAGAGATATCAGATGCTAAATTTGTGTAAATTACAAATTTAGCATAATTTGTCAAGCTATAAGTTATATTCAGAAGATTTAGGATACTATTAGCTAAAGACAAGAGATCATTATGACTAAAACAAACAATCAAGGATACTTTAAATATAGTTGGGGGAAGTGGTTAAAAATATGAAAACATCAGATCACTACTTCTTTGTTTTACTTAACTTCAATTTTTATAATGTTTCTGAATTATCTGTCAACAAAATGCTGATATTTTAGCCAAGTTTAATTTAGATAAATTGGGGCCTAAAAAGGTTTTCAGTTTGAAAAAAAAAAAAATCATATATGTTGTTCAGAATACTAATTTCCTCAATTGCCCCAACAAGTCTCGTTTGTCAGATTATAAATACCTTAAGCAAGTATTAAACATGCTTTTCATTAATTACTTTCTTAATTTGTATATGACGTAATATTCTAATTGTAAATGTTATGCTTTCAGTACCTATAATTTGAAAATCATCATAACAGAAATAAAGACTTTCCAACATCCATCTTTGTGTAACTGATCTATATAATGTGCTTTACTGAGTGATAAAGTTTTTAATGTGTAATTTATGGTGGCACTACAGCTGAAATGTCAATCAATCAAGTTTTTTGTATAGCATATTTCTGCAATAAGTGCTTTACATCATAAAAACACACACAAAAATAAACAATTCAAGCATTACATTTTTCCAAGTGGCATTACACATCAAAATTTTGGTCAGTGTTTAATTTATTATAGTACTAAAGTAACTCTAAACAGGTGAGTTTTAGTCTAGATTTAAAGGAAATTAGTGTTTTGTCTGGTTTACAATAGGAACAAACTTACAAATCAGGAAGTTTGTTCCTGATTTGTGGTGCATAGAAGCTGAATGCTGCTTCTACTCACCTGCTGGGAAATATCTTAAACGTCTACATTCATTACATTTTTCAAAATCAGTTATCTGTTATGTACATTTTTAACCTGCATTTCTCCATGTCAGTGTAAATCTGTGTTTCTGCTGTTTTTTTGTAATATTCCTTCAGTTCTTCACAGGAAGTGAACTGGTGGGGTCACTCTGGGAGCCACGCAGGCCCCACACAATGCCATGGCAGCAGCATGGCTTTCACTGGGCCTCGCGCTGCTGCCTTTACGAGAGCCAGACAAACGGATCCCCTTCACGCCGCAAAGCCATCAACAAGGGGAACAAAGAGGGCAGGTGCTGAGGACTGCATTGAGTGCTCACCTGCACCCAGCAGGGGAATATAGTGCGTCCAGCCATGCCAAGAGGCCCTCCACATTCACATCCCCACTCACCAGGCACTAATGGGCTAAGATGGCAAGCCAAAGAGAAATTATTTCTCTTTATTATAGGCTGAAGCAAATCAGCAGCTGATGGTGTTGAATATTACAGTGCATGTACCGTATGCACTGTTCAGTCCAAACAAACTTGGCTTCTGCAATATCTAAAGCAGGCCGTGACAGAATGCTGCTAACTGGGCATCAACGTTTAATCGGTAACAGAAGTGAGTATGAGGGAGCTGACTCTTGGATCTGCTTTTCAGATTTTTTTGTACTGACTTGAATTTTAAATAGAAAGATGTGTTGCTGGCTTGCTGAAGTCCTTACACCCCTGCAGTATTTTACATTTGATCACATTGCGACCTCAAAGAATATATTTGATTGGAATCTTGTGTCCAGGCCAAAACAAGGAAGCAGAAAGTTGGAAAGTGGATGGAAAATATTTTTTCTATTGCATACATTTATTTCAAAGACTGCCTTTTTTTTCTTGTATTCTGTTACTGTATTTTAGTGTTACTCTCTAGTCTTTATTTCAGTAGCTCTTCTTTTGTCCTTTGTTTCCATTAACCAAATAAATGTGAAATTTTCTTAATGGAAATATGTCAATTTAGAAAAAACTTATTATTTTCAGTAGAAAGTATTTGCACTCGGAGGAGGTGGCTTCTCAACCGTATCAAAATAAATGTGTTTTGCAAAACTGCAATGGAAAATATTTTTCACGTCACAGGAGTCATATGATCAACAGCCGGATGTTACTACTGTCGAAAACGACAAAGAAGACGACAAGAAGTAGCAGAAGGATGATTTTTTATTTTTTCAGACACTGTGCATCTGGCTCCACCTGAGCTCTCACAGCATCGCTCAATTGGTAAAACAGCGTTGAATCCATAGTTACTCTGTAAAATTGACAAATACAATTTTCCCAAAATGCTTGCATACGTAGCCGCTCCCAAGTACAAAGGCTTGTTGTTCCAACACCTGAATAAGACGCCGACATGAGCAAATGGCTGAATTATGGATATATCTAAAGCCATTGACTACATCTGTTCCTATCATTATTTTTTGTGACTTATCACGTGAACAAGGTTATTCACATATGATTTTAAGTTAATTTCTTATTTAACAAAAACGCTGCAACTGCAAAACTGTGTTTTAGCAGAACGCAGACAAAGATTTGCACACATTTGTAATGGAAACATGGCAATTTTCTCTCAGGTCCTCACCCATCTGCTCTGCATTCTGCTCACCTGGTTTCCATGCACTAATCGCCTCCCAATAAGTTACAAGTCAGCTTGTTTCTCTCACAAATAGCTTCCTTCTGCAATCCGTCGTCTGCTATGCGGCTTACCTGTCCTCATATCGGCTCACCTGTTTTCATTTAGTCTGCAGTCTCCATTTGGATCTGGTTCTACTCTATCACTAACCTTGAAATCGTCATGAGTCGTCATCATACTGTGGGGATGCATGTCTGTTTCAGGGATAGAGAAGCTGAGCATAATTGTTGGCAGGATGGCTGAACAATCTAACTAGAAATCATGTTAACAGTCTGCAAACAGTCTGCAAAAACTATCAGACTAGGTGAAGGTTTACCTTCCACCAGGCAGGACAACAACTGCAAACATACAGCCAGAGACGCAAAAGAGAGATTCAGATCAGTGGGGTTTCATCTCTGCACCCCAAAGATCAAAATCATCCAATTATCCAACTATTCAGGGTCATATTTTATTTTTTTTCATTAAATACACAACAATAATTGCCATTGTGACTATATACGCATCAAATTAGTCTGATTTTCATAGGAACGAATCTATAAACATAAAAGGGTGTTGTGCAATTCTCTTGTTGGCATACAATTAAAAGTTAAGAAATTCTGTGTCTTTCAAATTTAACATTTGAATTATGTATCTTTCATGACTGGCGTTAAGTCAAGGAAACAAAATCTGCATCAGCAAAACTTGGATCGAAGTTTACACAAATCTAACCACATAATCTACTTAAAAAATCACAGACAAGTCTTGAAAATAAATCTCCACAAACGCTCTGAATCCAAATTCAAATTGGAAGCTTTTTTTATTGGCAAACATTTCATTTTGCAGATGTGAGAATCTGGAAGTGACAGTCCTGTTTCCACCAGCTGTGCAGAATGTTACAGTCAATCTAATCCAATCAAGAAAGATTCACTTTGTTACGTTACAAAGCAGTCAGGTGCTGTTTATTGTGTCAAACTCTTCTATCTGAGGAACTTAAACTGGCTTTGGAGCAATAATTAATTATATACACTGTTCATATTTTTATGTAATATATTAGAAAACCATATATATCAATAGTTTGGGCTAGTTTATGTTGGTCTATTGCATAAAAACCTCAAAATTAATACTGGAGTTTTTGGTTGCAAATTATGAAAAAAAGTGAATTTGTGAATGCTTTTGCAGAAAACTGTGGCAGGCATTTGTGTGTAAGTGCATGGTTGGAGGTTTAGAAAACTATTTATGCTGTTAAGGCAAAATATAAGTGGGACCGTTGGGGATTTGAGGCCAGCGGAGAGACATATGGCAGACCTAAGCCACAGGTAGGCCTGGCATGAGGCAGGCAGGCCGCCTTTGAGCCGCCGCTCTGGATGAAGTGACAGATGTGTGGTGAATCTTTAACTCCTCACTGTCCCTGCATCTGTCCCCGCTCTCCGCGACGAAGGCTCTTCCCCCTCCTGTGAGAATAATAAGCCAGCTAAAGAGGGAGCTATCACTGGACTTATTGATTAGTCCAGCTTGCCCTGGCCGGCTTCATTTAATGACCTCTGGGAGTCATTATTGAGGAGTCATTGTCTTTGTGATCAGTTCAGACTTTCTCTTACCATATGGGAATCCTCCTGTTGCCACTTCGAGGATGAGATTTACAACCTGCTTCAACTAGTTCAACTAGACGCGTCCACTAGTTTACTGTTTGAAAATCAAAATGTTTGTTTTTGTTTGTCTTTTACAGAAAATTAGGTCATACCAGACAGCAAGTTAAAAAAGACAACATAAGGGGAAAGCATACGCTCTAATCTCTAACAGCAACCTTATTCATTGTCTCTTTTTAAATCCTTCCGTAGCAAACATATCGCTGACAAAATAAATGATACATTCCATTTTATTCCCGTTTACACGTTCTGTCTAATCTTCTCAGACGGCCCAAATGGCAGGGACAGCGTCCCACTCTGTTTCCCCACTCAGCCATGGCACTGGCAAGAGATGGTTTATTTTAATTGAAAATTAGCAAAACAAAACAAGGGCAAGAGGATCCCTGAATAGGGCCCCTTTCTCCGGGAGCTCCTGTGCCGTTGAATAATGCATATGGGAGAAAGTAAACAGCAGCCGTGGGCCTTGCTGGGGGAACAATGGGCCGCACACAGCCCAACCAGGGCGCCTGATTTTATTACTGGCCTGTCAATCCCCCCAGCCTGGGAACTGTGGGACCTAGGCCAGGCAGCAGCTGCTGACCGCTCCGCACTGACCCAACAGTCCCGGCAACCCGCAGGAGGAAGCGCTCACACCGCTGCATACCTGCGCTCTGCGCTCCGCACTGTCCACTCCTAATCTGTCTATTCACACTGTCCGACTGGACCGTCCCTTCAGCCTGATTCATCCAAACTGAAGTGAAGCAGAGGCGGGTAGAGTAGCTGCCCAAAACCTGTACTCAATATGTAGACTTCGACATATTTATGCTCAAGTAAAAGTAAACGGTAGTTATCCAAGAAATGACTCAAGTAAGAGCGTAAATGTATTTGATAAAAAGGCTACTCAAGTTACTCATACATTCAGCTAAATGTATGCTAAATGTTTAGCATACACTTAGCCATACATGGTATGCAAAATGTCCTAGCCATACATTTAGCATATATGGCTACGTCATGCATGCTAAATGGCTTTTAGCATGTATGTTTTGTTTCTCTAAATATTGAGTTTGGAGAAACATATTTAAAAATTACATAACCAGAAGGCCCAAATATAACATTATGTAGAAATTGTGGTATTTTAAAGACCAAAATGAAAATAATTTATATGAACTTTAACAAAAACAGGTGTGTGTGTCTGTGTCTGTTGAATCTTTGGTTAAAACAGGCTTGTTTTTTAGTCAGAAAAGTTCCTCACAGTGGGTAGAGAATACAGCAATTTGACTCAAGTAAGAGTAGCAATACTCTTAGCAAAATTATTCAAGTAAAGGTAAAAAGTACAGCATAGTAAAAAAAAAAAAAACTCCTAAAATTGTTTTTTTCCAAAAAGTTACACAAATGTAACTGAGTAAATGTAGATTGTTGCTGCCAAAGTCTGAATGTACGCTACCATTTCAAATATTCTAATGTGATAAAATTTAAATGTCAACTCTTTCAAACTGACCTCTTAAGATGTTTTATCTGCAAAATACATGTTATTTTCACTTAATAAATAGTCCCATGTTTAAGGTTCGGGTCTGTGGTCAGTGTGTCTGATTCTGAACTTTTTCCTCCCAGCAGAACATTGTTGTATGTGTGTGTGTGTGGGTGTGTGTGTGCTCCCCTGTCTGCATTGAGATTCTGGTCTTGCTTCTGGTTTCAGCCAAGTCCCGGTTGCCATGCCTACTAGCGACTGGTAGCCCAGTATGAGTAATGATGTGATGTGGCTGTGCTTTAAAGTCCCAACAAAGACCTTATTACCACTGCAGCACCTCATAACACACCATTGTTGTCAAGTGCTCCTGATATTAACCTGCTTGCTCTGGGGCTTCCTCCCTTCACGCAGGAGATGTGCGTGTGTGGATACGTGTGAGCGAGTGCAGTCGTGTAAGCATTTTTGGAGAAACTCGAATGAAAGTTGCCAGAAACCGTCCTGACTTTGCATTTTAACTTAATAGATAACATAAATAATTTGTTTGCTCTCAGATTTAGACTTTTCATCTGCCTAAGTGAGGGTTGTCCATACTTTTTGACATGTGGGCCAAAATCTTTGTACTCATGGGCCAAGAAAATGTAAAAAAAAAAAAAAAAAATCATAAAATAAACCAAATAGTCATCTGAGTTGTTTAAATGTTTATTTTTTTTTTGTAGACAAGGTATCCATTGTAGATCCAAAACTTAAAAAGGAGTTAGTTTTCAAAGTCTTTCAGGCCTGGCTAAGCAAATTTAATCTCAGTTATTAAAGCAGGATTTGGGCCACTTTCTTTCAAAACGCCGTGACTGAGTTTAATAAATGAAATAAAAGCTGTTTAGGGTGCAGCAAAGTTGGCTGTTCAGTAAATGTTTCTACATAAATACTTTGTTTTACTTAAAATTTTTCATTGCAGGAAAATTATTATTTCTACCCTGATTAAAAATATTAAGTTTAATGAACAAATTAGTGTAACACTTGATCTGCATTTGGAGGCCAAAAAAATCTGTCCAAGGACCATAAATGGCCCTCATGCCTCACTTTGGACACGCCAAGCCTAGGGGGTCATAATTTATTATTATTATTATTATTATTATTATTATTATTATTTATTATTATTTATTATTATTATTATTATTATACGCAGATATAGAGCAATAGCAACAGATCATGCATGCTTCCGTTTTAAAATTTGTTGGTA